CAATTAGTGATTTTTTTGTTACAGTTTTTATAAATTGTGGTTAAAACTTACAATTAGTAAGGTTTTCCTATGAAAATTTTTTCAAACTATCACTGAAAGTTGAAAACTTGTGACCTTTTTGTAATGATTTTTTCAAACTATCGCTAAAACTTATAATTAGTGACTTTTTTGCGACAATTTTCAAACTCTCGTTGAAAATTAACAATTAATGAAATTTTTTAATAGCATTTAATGAAAAATACTATTAATTATCATTGGACCTATTAGATAATAAGTTCACCTATTAAGACCTACCTGTAAGTCTTTCCTTTTAATCTAAATTAAAGAAAACTCAAATGTATACTTAATTTTCGCAATATTATTTTATAGCTTTCAAATTTGCTAAGGGGTCGTTTCATTCAGTTAAAAAAGTAATATTTTTTGAATTTTTTTTTGGTACTTTTAGTGACTTTTTTTAAAAAAAATTTAATCCGTTTAATGTAGAAGAATCTAAAAAGTTTTTTTTTAAAAAAAAAGGGAAAAATGCAAAAAACCTCACTAAAGATTACTTTTCTTTTCTTGCCTTAGCAAACTTTTTCAATTTTTTTATTTTTATTTTTATTTTTATTTTTATTTTTCTAGTTCATTTAATTGAGTAAAACCTAAAACTCTAAAAAAAAAATTAGAATTTTTTTTAATAAAATAAAATTTACTCAACACTAAAAAATATCTATAAAAAAAGTTAATTGCAAACACTAACTATGCCATTTCTAAAGTTTCACCCAAATTAACACTTATATTTGAGTTGATCTGTTTAAGTGTTTTATATCAAATACAAATTTTATTTAAATTTTTACTTAAATTTAAATAAAAAGTAAGAAGTGAAAATGGCCTAACAAACAAGATTTTAAAGTCAAACCACAACAAATAAGATAGGATGTACATATCAAGGGTGATTATGTGAAAAAAAAAAATTATATATACATATATATATAAATCGCTTAGCTACTTGAGATTTGCCTTTTTTTTTTCGATTTTATCCTTTTGTTTTGAGTAATTTATTAATGGTGACTATATTGAGTGAAGGTTTTATTGGTCATTATGCCAACATATTTGGTTAATTATGCAATAGGTTTTTTCATATGATGCAAACATTCTTAGTCAATTATAAAACAGATTTTTTACGTAATTACACAAATATTCTTAGTCAATCATGAAATATAAATCTTTTATTTTTTAACAAATTATAAATATACTTATAAGGTTTGTTTAAAATATGAATCGATCCTATAATACTAGAAATTACAACTATCGTTTGTTATAAATTTTAATTTAACACAATACTCAGGAAAAAAAAATTATTCTCCTATGCGATAATAAATTATTAAAATTATTTATTGAAAAATATTTTTCATATCATTAAAAATTATTAATTGACTTAATGATTTATTTATTAACAAAATGGTTAACTAAAAAATATTTTTTATGCCATTAAAAATTGTTAATATACTAATAAAATTGATCATTTGTTATGGGAGTATGATTTATGTATTAATAAAAGGGAAAATCGGTCTAGGGTCCCTCTTCTACTTTTCGTAATGGAAGAGATCCACAAAATTATTTTTTGATGTCTAAGGTCCCTAAACATATATCAGATGAAAGTTTCACTGGCTCATCTCTTTCCACTCACTGAAAGACCTCTCGATCGTCTTCAACACTGGACAATTCGATTTACACAAACTCAATTTGACCGATTCAATGATCGGAAACTCCGAAACCAAACTTCAATTAGAAACCCTAGGTTTGTCCGGGATTCAACACTGCGATTACAGCCTCAGTTGGCTCTGGAGGAGTTGTAAACAGCTCAAGAAACTCCAATTGCGAAGCTGCTATGCAATCGGCGATGAATCATCACTCTCATCGTTCGTCGAATGCTTAATTGGTCTCCAAGAAGTGGAATTGTGGACATGTAGGGCGATAATCAACGAGGTTCCTCTTCCTCCTTCTCTTTCATACACTTTCTCATTCTAGGGTTTCAAGTTCTTGAACCCCTTCAATTTCATTTTAATTCGCCATCCCCTGTTTTCCCTACTATTCCGTCAAGCTTTTACAGTCTATTTCATATACAATTCTATTATATATTTAATAGTTTATTTTATTTAATTTCATAAAATAATATTTTAAAATTTTAAATATACTATAATAATAATAATGCGGTACTTGGACGGATCTTTCAAAACTATCCTAAGAAAAGGCTGAAGTGGGACCTGTAATTTTTAATTCGCCGGCGAGAAAACTTTGTGTCAGTTAGCCGGTTTCTTGTAAACTGACTGCGACCCAAAATAACACAAACACAAAGGCGACTCACCACAGATTGTCCTCCATTTGGCAACACGCCTTTGACCTCTTCTCTTATAATTTTAGTCAGATCATTTTTTATCGTAAATTGATTTTGTTTCAAATTAATTTAATTGTTAATATTTTTTTATAACAAATGTATACTTTAATAAAATTATAAATTTGATTAATTCAGTAATTTAATCTCAACTAATTCATTAAAATTTTCTATCAAAAATTTAACGACGTTATCAATTAAATCAAATTAATTTAAAATTTAAAATCAAAATTGAACCATTTAAAATTAAAGGGACTAAAATAATACAATCAACAAAAGGTAAAGACTACTGGTGTGATTTGTCCTTCTTTTATTATTATTATTTGGATAAATTACGCATTATCTCTTTTATATTTGGTCGTTTTATCACTTTGGATTTTACAGTTTTTTTTTTTTCTCACTTTGATCATTTATATTAACTACCACATAACTTTAAAAATAGTATTATATTGAGATTTGAATTTGTGTTAAAATATGAATTAAATATAATAAAGTATTTTTATGTCATATGGCCATCAATGCATCATTTTTTGTTTAATTTTAGACATAAGTTAGCTTTAAGGGAGTTTTTTTTAAAATATACTATAAAAAAAAATTAGAGAATTTACTCACTTTTCAAACTATTTGGGAAACTAATATGCTTTTCAAAATCGTATTTTGAAAATGTAATTTTAAATTGAAATTGGAATTCACTAAGATATATTGCATTTTCAACATGCGATTTCAAAATGAAATAGCATGTTGAAAATGTAATTTCAATTTCAAAATCGCATTATTGTATTTTCAAAAAGCAATTTTAAAAAAAAAAAAGTTATTTTCCTAAATAATTTGAAAAGAGGGTTAATTCTCCAAATTATTATTATTTTTTTAGAATATTAAAAAAAAATAAAAAAAACTCTAGCTTTGAGAGTATATTGAAAAAAATTTAAAACATGAATAACAAAAGTGCTGAGATTGCTATTCTAGACTATCCAATCACTCTAGAAGAGGTGAAGAATGCAATGTTCTCAATGGGTTCGTATAATGCCCCGGGCCCTAATGGTATACAACATTTTTTCTACCAACACTTCTGGGATACAGTTGGCCTTGACCTAACAACTATTATCCAGCAGGGTATCAGTTGTACTATTTATCAGGAGTTAAATAAAACTTTGATCATGTTAATTCCCCATGTTGATCACCCAACTGACATGAACCACTTTCATCCCATCTCGCTTGAATTGGGATCCTCCCTTTCATTTCGGTCCTTCATTTCTTCCTTGCAGGGCCTTCGGGCCCACTTTAAGGCCCAATTTTGATAATCTGAACCGTTCATATTTTTAGATTTATTTAGTATATCATACCTGTAAAAAATCAAGTTGATCGGGTATCAAAAAGTATGTGTTCAGAAAACTGTTTATTAAAAAATAGTTTGTAGTCCCAATTTTCTGAACGCATACTTTCTGATATCCGATCAACTTGATTTTTTACAGGTATGATATACTGAATAAATCTAAAAATATGAACGGTTCAGATTATCAAAACTGGGCTTCAAGGTGAACCCGAAGGCCCCTGCAAGGAGGGAATGAATGAGGGGGCTCAAGGAGGGGATCTGGACTCATCTCGCTTAGCAAAGTCATCATGAGAGTTATGTCCAAAGTTTTAATTTCTCGCCTTCACCTGTTGTTACCAAAGCTTGTTAGTCCTCTCCAGGGAAGTTTCATTCCTAGCTGACAAGCTGCGAATAATATCATTCTTGTCCAGGAACTACTTCATACGATGAAGAAATCTAAGAGTGTCAGGGGTACTATGGCTATCAAGATTGACCTAGAAAAGGCATATGATCGTATTGAATGGCCTTTCTTGAAAAGGGTTTTTACAAGAGATAGGCTTCTCAAACATTTGGGTTTCCTTAATCATACACTCTGTTTCTACCACCGAACTTATCGTACTCTGGAATAGGGCTACTGTCCCCTTTTTTATACCTTCACTACAAGAATTTACACATTTTGCGACCACTTTTGCCGACCAAAAAAATTTTGGTCGCAAAAAAATGACATTTGGCGACCAAATATTACTCAAAGATGGATATGAAATGCATTCTCAAATCAAACTTTACATGAGTGCAAATGGTCTCGGCATCTCTTTCAAAACTAAGCCAAGACAAAGTAAAACATGCTGGGAGTTAAAACACTGTCTTTTCATCTCGGGAAAACATGCTGGGTACCAACCAGGTCTAGGCCGAGGTCCCACGCCTCTTGGCCGAGGTGTGGTCTCGACGACCACATTTAGGGAAATGAAGTCGGGAAAATCTGGGTTTCCCTTCGAAGAACATGAAGAATATGAATATGAAGAACATGAATGCTAAAATCATAACTTCTTTATTCAAAATCTGAGATTTCATGGCATGAGTTCAAAAACATGGACCTGGGTACCCATACTTGAAGATCTCATGAAAACAAACAGAAAAACGTGGATCTTGATACAAACTTTCGGATCAAAACATGGTTTTATCTAGGGCTGGGCATAGGGTCATCCGACCCGCCCAAACCGCCCTACCCAAACCGAACCGCACGCGCGTGGGCGGTTTTGCAAATACATTAGGGTAGGGTGCGGGTTAGATTTTATATAAATTTCGGGTTGCGGACGGGTTGCGGGTTTGAACCGCACCCGCCCAAACCGCCCGCATTAAATTAATTAAATTTTTTTTCCCTCTCTTTCAAATCTAGCCGTCCATCACCATCTCACTCACCTCATTACAAACAAAACAAAAAACCCTAAATTCGTCTCCCTCACTCTCTCAGTCAGCCTCATCTCAACTCATCTATGTCTCTCTCTCTCTCACTCTCTCGTTTCGTTATTCTGCACCGATCACTCTCTCTCACTCTCTCGTTTTTCATCTCATCGAACCAATCATCGCACCGCCAATCTACTCACAGGTAAACTCTCTCTCTCAATCTCTATCTCTCTCTCTCTCGCCCCGATCGTTGATTTTTTTTGTTTTATATATATATATATACATATACATATATGTATCAGATATGTCTTTGATCTGATCTGTCTCCCTCACTCTCTCATCTCATCAGATCCACAGTTTGGTTTTGCATCTCTGCACCGATCGACTTATAGGTAAGCCTCTCTCTCTCTCTCTCTCTCTCTGTGCACCGATCGAATATGAATGTTTCTTTGGAAATAAATCTGATTTTTTTTTGGACCAACATATCTATTCTGTTTGTTTTGGAATCTGTGTTAATCTGTGTTAATCTGTGTTAATCTGAATCTGTGTTAATCTTTGTTGAATATGTTCTTAAGAATTTGAATCTGTGTTCTTAATCTGAATCTGTGTTCTTAAGAATTTGAATCTGTGTTCTTAAAGAATAATCTAAATCTGTGTTAATCTTTTTTTTTGTTTTGTTTTATATATATATATATATACAAATTTGTTCTTAAAATTTTTTGTTGAATCTGTGTTAATCTGAATCTGTATTTCTAATGTAAGTTTACATTCTGAAAAAAATAATTTTATTAATTGTTGAATTTTGTAAGTTTACATTCTGTAAGTTTACATTTTGTTGAATTTGTTCTTAAGTAATTTTTATTAATTGTGTATGTTATTTAATTCTGGACCTGTCCCTCAATCGAGGATTCTCCCACTAGAAGATGAAGCTCAAGCAATTGGAAGGTCATCTTGGATCCCTTCAACAATTCTCGAACCCAAAGGTCTCTCTCTCTATATATATATATATATATTGAATTTCTGTGACTGAAGTGAATATCATGCTCTGCTTGTGCTGCAGATTGAACTAGATCAATACCCAACTGGACCCCATATCGCTTCTCGGATGTTATACACTGTATGCTTTTTTTTCTCCTCTAGCTTTTCTATCTTCAAGGTTTTCTATTTTTTTTTTTTTTTTTGTTTGTGTTTTTATAAATTGTTGTTTTGTAAAAACATGTTTTTGGAAACCTATTAGGCAGAGAATTCATTTGGGGATGTGGCCAACAAGGTAGTGGCAGATTTTGGTTGTGGGTGTGGTACATTGGGTATTGCAAGCTTAATGTGATTATTGTGCTTTTAAATTATGCAATAGGATGGAAGATGTTTTCTGGCAAGTTACTTGATTTCTTTTTGTTCTAAACCCGCAACAATACCAAAATCTTTGAGGTCTGCTTCAGGTTTGGATTTCCTTTCATTGATCCATTTTTGTACTTGTTGTTTTTTCTATAATTTAATCAATTTTGACCTCATTCTGTTTAAGGCAACCACTACATGGTACACCTATTGGTTATGTTATTGTTTGATCTAGTTTTACAATTTCAAGTCACCAAATAGTCTTTGAACTGTTTGTTAAAATGTCTGACCCAGAAATGTTTATTTTGAAATGATAAAGAATTGAAAATGCTATATGCTGATCAAGTCACCTGTTGGTTATGTTACTCTTGGTTTATTTTCTAACTCTAATGTTTAGGACAATTGATTTGGTTTATATATAATAAACCAATTATGAAAATCAATGTACTAAGAAATTAAGAATTGCTATTGTGATTGATAAGTAATACCTTGGGTTTTCTATTTCCAATCTAGCTGTATCCAATTAGATGAATGATTATCATAAATAAATAAACATTCATGGGTGATTAAATCTTTATGCTGCACCTGGTTTACTAGTTCTAATATGTCAACCTCAACTTTGATCCTGTGCTTATGAGGTGTTATTTATTTTCTGGAATCATCAAGGGGACTTAGTTTTTTGGCTACAGTTCTACATGTGAATCAAAGGAAACAGATTGCTACCTCTTTATTTATTTATTTATTTTTATCAATCATATATTTCTTTAAAATGACTAAAGTGCTCCTGCCAAAAAGTGTCGTGCAACTTGAGATGAAAAAACAATTAGCCACTTTTGTATTTCTTTAGGAATGCCTTTGCCTTATTTTATTGGGATCAGAAAAACTTAAGACCTAGAAACACCCACTCTTCACATGCATGGGAGTGGCATTATACCATCTAAGCCACACATCAATGGCATTCTTTGGCCTGTTGAACCTGACTCATCATACAGTCTATTATTGGACATGTTCTAACAACTTAGTCCTACCAAGAAGCAAATTGCAAACCGAAGACATTAGTGAGAAATCTTCAAGGAAGGAACTTTTATGGAGGTAGATATGTGCACCTTTAGTCAGTTTTTTGATGTGCAGAATACCTTGTTTGAATTGGAGGAAAGAACGATTTTTTGTCTTTGAAATTAAGTATTGTTATTCATCCGACTGATGTGTTTGAATTTTTTTTTTTACTCTGTTATTTGCTACAGATGAATGGAATACAGACACCTCATTATCAATACTGCCATATTCTCCAATATTCACAAAATATCCCAACCATAGCCAAATATTTGTTGATCTCATTGCATATGAAGATAAAATATGATTGCTTCTCCTATGGAAACTATCTCATCATCTAATGTTTTCCATATTTTTCTGGAATATCTCATTTATGTGAATTTATAAAATCAAAGTCTTGGTGGGATGTGTTGTTCCTTAGAACCCAAATAGGTAAACTTCAATGTCTCTTAAATATTTTAATTCATAAATGAACTCCTTGGTTTTCTATACAGATAACCGTCAAGGGATATGCAGTATCAGGAGGTGGCCGTGCAATTGAGAGAGTAGATGTATCCATTGATGGTGGCAGAACCTGGGTGGAAGCATCCAGATACCAGAATGCGGACATTCCATACATTGCTGATAATGCAAGTAGTGACAAATGGGCCTAGGTGTTTTTTGAGGCAAACGTTGATGTCCCTATGACTGCTGAGATAGTTGCTAAAGCGGTATGTCTTCTTTGTTTCTTCTCATTATAGTATAACCTGCTTATATGTTGCAGGCTCTCTCAAATGCTTTAATAGAGGATGAACTCATTTATCTGAGGGCTCAATTTGAGCTATTGAAACCAAAAGATGGGTGTTTCTCGCTCAATATTGAAATTAGATTGACATGGATATTTCTACAAAAAATACATATTTCTTTTTGTTTTTTTGATGTCTTATGTTGTTTTCTTCATTAAAGTTTCTGCGTGCTATGAGATGGGTGATTGGGGTATAGGGTTCTATTGAGTGTTATGAATTGAGACCTATTTCTCTGCCATGGTTTTCCTACAATGAACTTGTCGTACTTTTTATCACAGCAAGACACCTTAGCAAAGTACATAATCCAACAGTTCGAGTTAAAATTAAAGTAAAATAACATTAAAGCCATACATCCTAAAATGATGTAGTTTTGCCTCAACTTTAAATATAGGCCGTTGGATTACCACACCAAAACCATAATGATTGTGATGGTTATATGCTATAATACTAAAGAATTGCACGATATCATATCAGTGAGGCATGTATACTGTTAGTTTTTCATCTTCCCTTGTTCTCTGTTCAACTCGTAAAACCATAGATTTTTGATATAGATGAGATAGAACATTAAACTTGTTATTGGTTGCCATTCTATTGCCATTAAACGATATCATAGCAGACTTGTTTCATAAAATCAAAAAACAATGTTATGTGAAGGCATTGTACTCTGTTATGGATGTAACTTACCAAAGGTTGATCCCATGATCCATCATTACGAATTTCTATAATTTTTATCAGGTTACTCTAGGAATATGCCTGGATATAAAATATGTCAAGCATAATGAGTGAATAGCACATTTAGTATGTTTGTAATTAGCAACTCTCTGGCTTTAACGCAAAGAATGAACATATTCATGTTTGTACAACTCTGTAAAGTTAGGCTTGGCTACACATGCTACTGCAATTTTGGTCGAAGAAATTTCTAGTGAAACATGAACATTCATCAATAGCAACATGAACAATTTCACACCTAATGTCAAAGGCACAAGTAAAATAGTTCTTAGGCATCATTGATAATCTTTCTCACAGCATGGAACAAACACATCAATGCAAAGAATCATGTAGATCATCCATATTTTTATAGGGGCAATAAATACATACACATGTTGATAAGTTACAGAGGCCATAATTTTGAAGTTAATGGTTTTCGTTTGTTGGAGCTAAAGCCACCATTCAAAAAGCAAATTTTTAATTGATACAAGTGGTTACAAGTGAAATCACCCATAAAATTCCATCCTAAGCTACAAGAGACTAGACCACAGTGACATTCACTAGCAAAAGGACACAAAAAATGCAACGAAGAGATGAAAATTCTAGAACATGAAGAAGTGTAGCCTTAATATGTGAGAAGATTGTGGGCCACTAATTCATTCATTCATGAAGAAGTGCTTGTGAAAAAAAAACTTGACGATGTTATTTAAACTCATGTTTATTATCTCTTTTAGAGGAAATGGAGCTAGTGTCCTTCGGATTGTTCCCTATGCAGCATTATATTTCATCATGAAATATGAGCAGTATCGCATTTGGATCTTGAACAATTACTCTGCCTTGGGAACGGGCCCCATGATAGTACTTTTCTACTCCTTTTTCATTGATTTGGTTATTTAGTTTTTGTGGGTCTAAATTTAACATTCTTCTTTTGTTATATGATGGAAATTAGGAATGGTGAATGGGGTGATCATGTCACTTTGCAGGCTGCTGCAGATTCTGTATGGTTCTGCAACTTCATTTTTTCTTTTCTCGTCATTATTAATATAGGCTTGTTGGTATTTTTTGTGTACTATCACTGTGGATGGGGGGTGAGGATTGTGTAACGCGGCCCAATGGGCTGTCAGCCATCAGATAATACAACTGCATACATAACTTAGGAATTACCTTGTTAAAGATTATTTTGTAGATCTCTGTTTAATCTGATTAATAGCATATTCTAGAATTATATTATGACATATGACTAGCAAAGCGTATGATGTTGGACATTTAATGTTACAGCTATCAGCTCTGTCTCAACTAGATTTGTTGGACTTGACCAAACATGAACTAACAAACTGTGTCCAAATTTTTTGTTTTTTGATCTATTGGTATCTGTTGTGCAACAGAATGTTGTTTGCCTGTTTAGTTATTCTGTTTCGATATAGTTGAAGTCTATCTAGATATTTCATGTTATGGTACTATACATTACACAGTTTGCCATTTGCCAACTTTCTTTAACCCTTTGCTTCAAAATATTTTGCAATCAAACCATCTTGATCATGATTACTTAGCTACCCACCACTACTAGCAAGTGCATGCATGCATTGTTAATGTTCCCTTTGATGTGTGATGGTGGGTATAAATATTATGTGTCTTGTGGGATCACAATTTCGAATTCTTATAGCTATTCAGAGTTTACCATAATGACAAGTAAGTTGTGTGTGTGTGTGTGTTTTTTTTTTTTTGGTGGTTTTGGACAGACGAAGTTATTTCAGAAAAATATATCTTGGAATATGGAACGGATTGTCTAGAGATGCATGTTGGAGCAGTTGAGCCTAATGAACGTGCTTTGGTGGTTGATGATTTGATTGCCACTGGTGGAACCCTCTGTGCAGCAATGAATTTACTGGGTACTCACTTGTAAATCATTTGTATTAGCTTTATGAGCCCTAGTAAAAGCATTGTCCTCTTTTTCTTTTTCCTATATTTTACAAAATTTATGTGGAAAATGCTTTGACTCATGGATATAAACAATTCCATATGTAGTGAGAAAACGAACCACCTGTTTATTAGTCATTGAACACAGGGACCCAATGAAGGGTTACCTGGACAAGGGCTACAACTTGGGCTATTTGGATCTGGGTGAAGGCCAAATACTATGCCAACCTTTAAAAAAAAAAAAAAAGGATTGAAGAGGCTGTTATCCAATTTACCTTGAGTCAAAGGTGTTCAGCGTCAATCATGTTGGTTAGGTTGTTTGGTTAGCCAAATAACAAAATTTACCATATGTTTGTTATAGACTTTCTCCTTCTTAATTCATCAAGCATTTTGCCCATTTAACAAAATGAATGTTTTGCTCCTATTTCTCAGGACTGAATTAATATGGAATTTGATGTTGCATACTTGTGTATTTTATTGATTGAGCATACCTCTTCAATTAAATTTTCGAAACCATATAGTATGCATTATGTATGCATGTGTAGCGACTGATACTGCCCTTGCTGCTGGAAATATATATATATATATATAGCGTGCAAACCAGAATATATTGTGACTGATTTAATTTTTTTTGGTCAGAACGTGCAGGGGTTGAAGTTGTTGAATGCGCATGTGTAGTTGAATTACCAGATTTAAAGGTTTGTATGCAATGCACTCTTGGCCGTTTTCATTTCCTTAGCTGTTAGTTAGTTCTTCTGTGGTTTGGTTCTTAAATATCATCAATTGATTGTGATTCCTGCTTCTATAATTACTTGTTTTTATTGAAACTGTGCTCTGCTTCTATGCTGCCACTATCTCAGTTCCTTGACATTTATCTGAATTGATCAATTGACATTTATATGTGGCTGCTGCTGAGTTATGTGTTGAAACTGGATATAGAAAATTTTATAATAAGACCTGTTTTGATAATGAATTCGTCCTATTTTGATTATGAATTCGCTAAATATTACAGGTGTATTATTTTCCGGCTCTGGCGACCAATTTATTAGTCGCGACAAATAAATTATTTTTTTTCGCGAAAAATGACAATTGCCGACCAAGAGTTTTGGTCGCAAAAAATACATCTATTGCCGACCAAAAATTTTGTTGGTCGTGGAAACTCACTTTTGCTGACCAACAGTTTTGGTCGCGAAAAGTAACAATTGGCGACCAAACTAATTTTGGTCGCACAATGTCACAGTTGGCGACCAAAATTTTTTGTCGCGAAATGTCACAATTGGCGACCAAACTTTTTGGTCGCGAAATGTGTCAATTGGCGACTAAGAAATTTGGTCGGCAAAAGGTGACTTTTCGCGACCAAAGTGTTTTAGCGACAAAATGAATTAGTCGTGGTAATTAAATATTTAGCGACCAAAAATTTAGTCGGCAAATCCAACTTTTGCCGACCAATGAAAATTTTGGTCGCGAATTACTTTTGCCGACCCTCAATTGGCGACCAAACTAGCGACCAAAAAAATTGGTCGCGAATAACTTTTGCCGACCAAAAATAGACTTTTAGCGACCAATTTTTTTGTTGCTAAAAGTGTTAATTGTTGTAGTGCTTCCTGAGGTTTATGTCAACGGGACCCTTTAACTCCCTACCTATTTCTCTTCTACATTGAAAAACTAGCAAAAGTATTTATGACTCAGTGGCACACAAACAGTGGAAGCCAATTAAAATTGCTCAAAAAGGACCCATGTTTTCACTGTAAGTATTAATAATACATGTAACCATAATAATAATGCGGAATTAAACTTAACAGGATCTTGAATTCAATACAACTCAAGAATAAAACGAACATACCTTTGTCAGCCATTGAATTAGAGAAGTTGAGAAAATACCCCTTAGAGTTGAACCTTTAATTCTTGGCTCACTTTCTTCTCTCTGTCTCTCTTAATTAGGATGACTATAAAACTTAAAGTGATGGAAAAATGCCCATGATATGAAAGGGGAGTCATCTATCCTTATATAGAGGAGAGAAGAGGGCCAGATAAACTCTATCAGAAGAATTCCTAATCCATCAAGGTTTCCTTCTTATCTTACAAGAGTGATTATATTAAAATTCTATTTACTGAACTTGATCTCAAATATTGGCTTTATCTAATTGTGGAGTCCAAATAAAATAAAACATGTAAAAATATGTAGGCTATTGGGCCATACTAGAAAATAAATCCAGCATTCTCCCACTTGGCCCATTAAGCCGATTATGATGCAATTATGAGTTTTTTCAAAAATATGCAACTTATAAAAATTTTGACTCATTGGATTCCACACTAAAAACTTTGACACGTGATCACGAATTTTAAAAAATAGCCAATAAGTTCAGATATATTAGAAACTATAATACTGTGATTACTTCAGATCACCAATGTGAGTCATAGCGGTTATATAACATTTATGTCATATTTCCTTCTATGCACCACACCATTGATAACCTTCACCAACCCAGTCCTTTATTGGGATATATAATTATTTGCCTGAAAGGCCCCTGTAATTTGTCTTGTTAAGACATTTCCTGTTTATCAATATTCAAAATAATGTGTACACACACTTTTAGAAACAGGAAAAACAGAAACAAAATTATTATTGCGCAAATAGTGTCAAAAAAAAAGCACTCATAATTTCAATTAACACTTATTGTTTCTGGACTCTTTCTCTAACAACTAAGCACTTTACTTCCATGTGTTTAGAACCACTGGAGTACTTTCCATTCTTAGAGAAGAAAACTGTTGTGGTATTGTCACAATATATCTTCAGCGGCCTGGCAATTGAGTCAACAACACCAAGTCCTGAGATGAAATTTCGCAACCATAAAGCATGATTTGTAGCCTCAAAGCATATGGAATGTCCTTTATTTGTTTTCTTTTCAAGTCATTCCTTGGATACTGTTTTTCACTTAATTTATCACCCTTCGTGATGGGTGCATCACCGACTGAACAAAACTGCATATTGAATCTCTCCAAAACACAATCAATATATCCTTTTTGAGATAGTCCTAGCAATCCTCGAGATCGATCCCTAAAGATCGATATGCTAATAACATAGTTTGCCTCACCCATATCGACTATTTTAAAGTTCTTGGAGAGATATTCCTTGGTTTCATGCAATAAGCCAATGTCATTACTAGCTAACAAAATGTCATCCACATATAGTACCAACGTAATGAACTTGCTCCCACTAACCTTCAGATATATGCACTGATCAACTGCATTTTCCTTAAATCCGAAAGAGGTAATGGTATCATTAAACCTTAAACACCATTGCCTAGAAGCTTGTTTAAGGCCATATATGGATTTCTTTAATTTGCAAGCTAAATGTTCTTTACCTTTCTTTGCAAATTCTTCTGGCTGTTACATATAAATTTATCCATCCAAATTCTCATTTAAAAAAGCAGTTTTCACATCCATTTGATGCAACTCTAAGTCATAATGAGCTACCAATGCTAGGATGATTCTAAGCAAGTCCTTCTTAGATACTGAAAAGAAGGTCTCTGTATAGTCTATGCCTTCTTTTTGAGTAAAACCCTGGGCAACAAGTCTGGCTTTAAATCGTTCGATATTGCTTTTTGCGTCACGCTTGGTCTTGAAGACCTATTTACACCCGACCTTTTTGCAGTTATTAGGCA